TCTTTCATTGCTTCGTTTTCGGTTGGACGCTTTAAATGTGTATTTACTAGAGACAGAAACAAAGAGTTATGTGCCTTCCAGGATGAGAGGCCCGGTTTGTTCGGAGCTTAAGATTTTGCAGTTTAACATGTTGGTGCTTTGCGAGTTGATTTCAGCAATTGTTGATTTATTTATGTTGTGTGTTACATGTGTGATATCGTTGTGCTTCTGGAGGAAGAGATAGAAGGCGTTACCCCTGGTGTAGAGTGGACTGGTGGCGGGTTCACCCGGAGTTGTTGAGCAGAATGTCGATTCAGAATCCACGTTGCTGGAAATTACAGATATAGTTTGAGGCGCAGGGAACTGTTGGCACAGTCTTGTTTTGCGCCTCTGCGAGTTTACCGATTTCACATTTGAACCGTGCAAAATCTACGTGGGTATCTACTCGTGCAGATGGCAATTCGTTTGCCCTGTGCAGACAGCGTTTTATAGCATTTCTCATGCTCAAGTTGTGGTAGGTTTTCAGTCCTACTGATAATGGGTTGGTTAATAATGTATTGGAAGCTGCTAAGAGGAGATTAGCTAAATCTGTTACTAAAAAGGAACCAATAATGCCTGATTTATTTGAGAAGTTTATATGATGTCTGATGTCTCATCCCATGCTTTGTGATGTGAAATTGTGTAGTACTATATATTTTCTAAAAGCATTCAGGATTTTCAGATCATCAGAGTTATTACACATAAGACGATCCCTGAACATTGTATTCTATGGTCTCTATTCATCCGAGCAATCCAAGAATGACATATACGAGATGGTTCATGGATAGTAATTGGCGGGACTAATTCAAAGCTATACCCAGTTTCATGTTTGGAGAAATGCCTTGCGCTCTCAGGTATGCCTTCATGTGATGAGTACATGTAAATTTTTCAAGCTTTGCCAAAGAGTAAGAATTGCTATAAACCGCTCAACATGGTAACAATGGTTGCATAGTTTAAAGAGGTGGTGGAACAACAGGCAACAGCAAACAATGGTGTACGCGATAGAATGTTTCAGAAACATGGAAGCGCTGGAAGTGAAACGCTAAGGACGGCTACATTAAAGATAACTGTAGACTTTCTTTGAGTCTCCGCCCGTGTTGACACTGAACCGGGACCAATATTCATTTTGATGTCTGTTGTTGTTGGTGTATGGAATATTATAAGTTGAATGCTTCTCTCGAGGGTAATACGGTCTGATGTACACCTCTTTGCTAGCCTGTCACCCGAGCCGGAGACTTGCTGAGACTTTTCAAACACAGTATGTTTGTCCATTCTACCATAACCGATTTGAAATCGAACTTCTTCGTTCTGCGGAAGACCGCTACGTAGTCGGCATGGGACAGTGGCGATTTGAACTCGTCTGTGAAGAGTGGTAAGTACCGTTCGCATTTTGTTTAACACTGCCGCTTCAAAATATTCTGTCCAAAAGAAAACAAACTAGAATTTATTCAATGTCAATAATGTGATACCCTAAGACTTGGTTTAAAATAATCCCAACTTCACAATACGGAAACCAGCGCCGTGTTACTCTACACCCTGGCCACACTATAATGGAATCGTCTGATACTTATTTTCTTGGCAGTAATTGTTGACGGCATAACGGCTTGAAATGGCGGACAGCGAACCGGTGTTTACATTTTTGAGAGATTGAAATTTGAAGTGACGGTGGAAAATGCCCGACTGACTGTCGAATCTGAACCCTGCAGAATCGAAGAATAGATCCTTTTCTGATCGATCTACGACCTGCCAACTCATCAAAGGCTGTTGATTTATATGACCGGCGAGTGTCGATCATGATCTCACGTACGTGCAACCCTTAAAACCATCCCGCGCATACATAAACGAAGTGAGTGAAAGTGCTGCATGTGCACACCAGCACTCATCTGAAATACGGCTGAAATTGTTCGAATGCTTCTTTATGCATGCCACGGGCGAAGTTCGGAACATTGTTTCACCATTTGGGACTGTGGATTATGGCCAGAAGTTTCTTTTCAGAATATTGTGCGAACATAGATCTCCAGCGGTGACGGCCTTGCGGGGAGCCATAACGGAGAGCGGATTTCTAGGTGGTTCAGGTTTTGACATCTATTTTTTAACTCTGCAGCGGGACATGATGAATGAGTATGCTGGCATGAATTCAGTGTTTCCTATACTGACCGTTCTTATGAATTTTCCATTCTAAAGCGGGAACAAATATACCATTTATCAGGTAGGCAAATGTTAACTAACGTTTTTGCTGCAAATTTTGTTTTAGATAGGGATGTATTTTTGCAAAGTCTTTCTGATTTTATTTTAAGAAATATCGCTACCGACTATATGACATGTCAGCAAAATGGCGTCTGCCTCTCGACTGGATCTTTTTAAATCAGTGAAACATATTCTGACAAACAACACTGCTATCAAAATGGTTAATTATGTTTAAGTTTTGGTGATACAAAACGACTTAATGTATAAAAGATAGTTTAAATAAAACAGTAAAAGTCGGTAAAAATAAAAGGTGTATATAGTGAACATCGAAAACAACTAATCGAACGGCTTTCGAACTCCGGACACTACATGCGTCATATTATGACGTCATACGATTAATCAGCGATACAGCTTCTCGGCGGAGGTTTGGCGGTTACCGTGGCAGCGGGTAATATTTTTCGAGTTGTCACCCTCCTGGGAAGGTGACATAATGAAACTGTTAAAAAGCCTCATTGACCAATGAAATTAAAGTATTTTCACATGAAAGGTAAGATAAAGTAATGTTATCATTGCATGGTTGTGTGCCAGGAAAATAATGATGTTTCTCTCAGTTGAATGCATTGTGAATATCTACTTACTCCGTAGTGGTATGCAATGGTAAGGAAGGTAATCACTCCTGGTGAATTAGGTGTATATATAAGGGGGCCGTGACAGTAGGTCTCCTCTCTCGTTTATCATCATGCATGGCGGTGTTACTATCATTACAAAGTTTATAATTGTTTGCCTTTCACACAAATAATATCTTTTCTACTTTCCAGATTGTACTTCTGACTTGACGTGTGATGCTCGTGTGAATGGATCATCCCATGTCAGGTCAGCCTGTATTTGTATGAGTAGAGAGTTGGCAAGTGAGCCTTTATTACGCGTTAAATTTTTCCTAATTCAGGAACTTAGGCTGATGAGCCGTTATAATACGTTTACTGTTAACAAATATATTTGCTTATTCTGCTGTGAGCCCTGATAATACGGGACTATACGTTAACTCTATTTGTTGGTATATGGGTACGTAACGTTATCGTTACACAGTTTGTTCAGGAGAATAATTTTCTTTTGTGTTGCAATTACCCTTGCCTTTGTCCAACCAGGCTGTCGTTATATCTTACGCATGACTGCTTCCCTTAAAGCGATACCCGACGTCCATGTGGGTCGAATGATGTATAGCATACTTAGTAACTTTATCCAATCAACCACGTGACGATTCTGCGCTGCGTGGTATTGTGCCACTATTATAATGAAGATACGGACGTCTGGGAAGGAAACAGTGTTAGCAGGAAAGGTAAGATTTCTCTCCAGTTGATATATATATATATATGTCAATGAGTTGGGAGTAACGTCATTAGTAAACTTACGGTGTAGCTGACACTCTGGTAGCCTGTCGAGGTTCAACACTAAAACGTATATTGTGTTCACTAACCAGAATCAAAGAACACCGAAGAACTACAAAGAGACTGGGTGGTAATTATATGTATCAGTGTGTTGGAGACGTTGGAATTATCAATTTAGCGTGACGCAATTATCATTTCAGTACAATCCCTGAACATCGCATTCAAAAGACGATGCCTTTGTTGCTGTATTGCTTTGAGCTGTTCTGCTTCAGAGCATGTATCAGGAAGTGACTGAACATTGAAAGTCTAGTAATGCCTGGGTGAAAGCAAAGGAAGGTTAGTATTGTGCTCGTCACGTCTTGATGTCGTCCAAAGTATTCTTAGTTAGCCAGTCAACCTAATCATTTGCAGAGACTAACATGGCAAATGCGTGTACAAGTGAAGCTTGATTTTTAGATCAGGTTTACAAACAAGATATGTCAATTTGTGCATCGCGATGCTCTCATCCATGAAATTATAACACCTGATCATCAGGTTTGTATTGGTAACATAGTTTTTAAAACATAATCTTCTATAAATGTAAAAGTATTGTCCAGAAGCCCGTAGTGTCTACGTTAATAGGGACCTATGTTAATATTTCGACTTATCCCAAAATCGACACAGGATACAATAATAATGAATAAACAACGAATACATTGTGACCCTAACTTTTATATTGAGACAACCGTAGCTCGACCCACTGAGTTTATATATATCTTTCGTCAATGCCGTCCACAAACTACTTTATTGTATATATGTATATTTCGTCAATGCCGTCCACAAACTACTTTTGTTGTGTATTGGAGATTCAAAACCTATTTGGTTAGGACACTGACACATTTATCCACAATGGAATGTTTTAGCCCTCGGAGTGTCTAGGGTTAATGTAAGAGATTATGTTAGGTCATATCACCTTTTTTCACGACAGGTGGATTGAAACACAGACTTTCATGTATGTCACATTTGGTGGCATACATGAAATTCTACCCACATTTTTCTGGCGAAATTGTTTTACTCGTATCTTTTTCCAATCAACAATCAATCAAAGCCATCCAATAGAAACAAAACAGCCCCCCACACTAATCAGGCACTTGTACATGAATAGTAAACAGCGAATATCGATGGCTAAAACGACAGCGACAAGCGTACTCCATATATAGACTAAGAAACCTTTTGTAATGATCGTAACTCAAGTGAAGAATCACGGCGTACACTGACGTACATATTGATGTTACCTCCCCAGGAATAATAATAATAAATGGATATTTCTTGTGCGCCATAGTCCATCCAGAGCATGCTGAAAGCGCTACATACAACAAGAGTCACTAGAGTTGATGAGGAAGATATGACAGTTCGTCAAAATGACCATGAGAATACTTCGCAGTTGTAGGTTGTAGTCTTTTTAGAAGAGGAAGGTTTTGTGTCCCGAATTGAATGCTTTTAAGACTGTTCCACAGGGTTGGTGCTGCAAATTTGAATGACCTATGGCCAAAGTGTTTGGGGAACTGAGAGAAGATCTTGATTCTGGAAGCGGAGAGAACGGGCAGACATATATAGTATGACCAGAAATTATTGAGAATTTTAGGAAGATGTTTAATTGGATTTCTAGTATAAACAACCTTGACCAGCTATCAAGTGCTTGGTTTCATTCAAGAGAGACAACTCCGTTAATCCTTTTTCATTAGTTTGTGAAGAGTTATCCCCCTTTGTTTACTTGCTAGCAGACGACATTTTCAGTGATCCTCAGTATGGATGATTTAGAGAAGTGGAGGTTGATTTTAGAGTATTATAACAAGGACATCAGATCAGCTAAAGTGATTTCAAGTAGAACAGGCATCCCTTTGTCCACTGTTTTATCTTGTTTTGAAAATATTGCAAATGGATATGGCATTGAGCAGGTAGGCCCAGAAAATTGACTGCCGGTGACAGGAGGCGGCTTGGTATTCTTGTTTCTAAAAACAAACGAAGGAGTTTAGAAAACTTAAGCCTGGATATGATTGATTGAGGAACTGTGGCTGTCTGTAAGACGACAATTAGAACTGAGCTGCATGCAATGGGTTGGCAGAAAAGTCGAGGAATTCAATCACCGATCATGAAACCTGAACAAAAAGAGCGAAGGTTGAACTGGTGCTTACAGCATAGACATTTTAACTGGGACAATGTGATTTTCTCAGATGAAAGTTCTGTGTGGCTGTTTCCTAATACACTGAAATTCTGGACCAAACAAACTGAAAAACCTTTGTATCAGTACAGTCCGAAATTTAACGTGTAGGGTGGCACATCTGAGTTAACCTGATATGGCAGTGTGCATAGTTACACCACATCCTGATACATGAACATGTATAATGTCATTATTTTGCCTTTAACATTTATTATGTCATGGATATTCTCTGGCGTTGAAGTTGTGAAATAAACAGATTTATTAACCATTAATGCAAGATCTTCAGAATGGCAAATCACTGCTTGACCTAGTACATGTACATTAAACGCTGTCTATAAACTGACTATAACGTGGGTTAGCAGGTGGACATGTGGATCATAGGCAATACTATTCGTCTCATTGTCTTGTCAGGAAGCCATGATCATAGGTTCAAATTCCAGATGAATCCCGATTGTGCTGCTCTCATTCGTTGCAAACTGTGATGCAACGAAAACAATGTTTAAAACAGAGTTAACTCATGGGTAGTTGCAAATATCCTTTCCTGCTTGAACATATCAGTTGTAGCTTTGCGTGTATAGTTTCTTCCACATCTCCTCTGTGAACTAAATGATATATTGCTACAAGGAGAGCAAAGGATTGGTATATTGATCCCGGAACTAAAACATTGTAAGATTGATGCTGTGGTCATTTTGTTATGGAAAAGGGACTGGTCGGCTAGGAGCCAATAAATTGTGCCTGAGTGGGGTATGTTAAATTACGACATGGTATCTGAGTGGGAGAGCACTATAGAAATGGCATTGCATGAAGACACACACATACACATAACCATACATGCAAACACGCACACACACACACACGCACACACACACACACACACACACACACACACACACATCGCCATGTAAGGGCACAAATCGCGAACGTGGCATTAATCACCGTGAAGATCGAGACAATAAAGCAGCCCATTTGTGAGAGACGATGAACTTGGAGACTATGTTTTGGACTGGGTTAAGTCAATGCTTTATGTTGTCATTTGAAAACACACAAACTGAAAAAGAGGAAACAGAATTGGAATTCCGTCTCTCCAAGTGATCATCGAAGGTCTTGCTGCCACACTTAAATAGTTCCCACCTCAGACAAGACCTCAAGCAACCTAGCCATTATTTGAAGCATCACAATATGAATTTTCTGATAAATACAAAAGAGTGCCACATATAAGGCATGCTTTTTTAATTCAGAAAAGAAACTGTCTACACCATGCATCGGGTTTTGATGCAAAGGCTTGAATGTTCGTAATTTCAGGATGTTTAACATCTGATGAATCAACTATCCCCAACGACAAACACATAAAGGGAAAAAATCATTTCTTGATTTTTTAGGCTTTCGTTACCAAGCACGTTATGTTAAAATAGATAATGTGAAATGCTGGACCTCCTCATTGATACCAAAATTTGGGGATAACACATTTAGGCAGGAAGTCAGAATTCCCATGGACACAAGCTATGCTCCCTTCCAGCTTCATGCATATGATTCGGAATTTCGTCTGCATGGACTGACAAAATCAAAACAAGGGATTCTGGCCAAGAGGGTTAACTTAGGATTTTGTTATATCGATGATCTGAATTCGTATGATAACAGTGAAACTGCCCCATGTAATTCAAATTTACAAACGAAAATGAAGATTCATTAGTACAAAAATATATCCACAAGATTATATGACAAAAGACTACAACAGTCTAAGCCAACCTTCCCCTATCCCCCCACAACATGGCGCATCTATATCGCTTATCAGTGAAACAGCTCTAGGTTCTTTAAAGACTTGTGCTTAACTAAATGTGATTACATAAGAACGAACATTGCAAGATGCCAGTCATCTCTTATACAGGTTTTCCCCAGCATATTGAAACCCCTGTGTCTGTGGCCCTGCGCTGTTATCCGCCATGTTTGTCTCCCGGACACGCCTTGTCAAGCCCCAAGCTCCATGCAGGCCGTAAGTTCACGTCGGTAGCGGTAACATGACACAACGTGTTACACAAGAAGCCACCTGCATTTGCTTCGGTCTGCTAACCTTCACGAAAGGAATACAATAGCTCACAATAACCAGCGATATAGATCGTTGGCTGTGTTTAGGTATGCTAGCTCGGCCCCAGAACGCACTTGAGAAAGTTTCGAGTCCCATTATGCAATTTTAGTAGAATGGCAAAGTTTCTTAGGAAATAATAATTTAACTCTTTCCATTCGAAGGACGGGATAGCACGTCTGAGGGCTCACAACCCTTCAATACGAGACTATGTTTAGCAACATGACACTTACATACGAGGGACGTGATATCACGACTCCATGGTCGCAACGGTTGACATGGACCATTTATGACTAACATAACATCAAAATCCATATGAACTGAATTGTTTTCTAAACATCTGTATTCACTTTCATTTAACTATTTCAGACTGAAAGAGAAAAGAATAGGTCGTCTTTAGCACAGAAACATTGAAAATGCAGGTTTTTCTCAAAAAGGAGAAACTTAATTGACCTTACACATCAGTGTGGTAATTGTGACAATTTCTTTCAATCCAGTGACTACACTACGGTGAAAGAACAACCACAATTTAGTAGATTTATGTCATCACTTAGAATTATAGGGTCATGACATCCAAAGAATGAAACGAGAGTGTTACCTGTGGTAACAACTATAAGAACAGTCAAAGTCAAAGAACATTGCTAACAATCAAACGTCAAACGTCGTAACAG